TTCTGGAAGTCCTTTTCTGAAACTGTAGCAACCGATGAATGTTTCTTTTGTTTCTTCCTCCTGTGATGCTTCATATAAGCTCCTGCTTGTATCACAGGGAGAAGACGAATAACCTCTAATGCTGTTTTCAGAGAACTTTAATGCTATGTACATTGTATGAGACCATAAAAAAGAGAAAGTATTTAGTAACTGGAAACTATTGGCATCCCAGGGTAGGCTTTATAATGAGAAATACAAATACTGTTTGGCTTTTTATGCCTATACCCACTTTTACCACTACATTATAATCTCTGAAAACAGGACCTGTGGAGTCTTAGAATACTTCAGTCCTTAAAGGATTATAGGAGTAGCTGAAATTCTCTAAGGGACTCTCTATGTTATTTTGGTAAAAAAAAAAAAAATTTAAAAGACAGTCACTATTTCCACAGCCAGATGAATCGAGGCCTCAAATATTGGCAGGTCACTTCAGAGCTGATTCTATGGGAAAAAAAAAATCTCTGAGTGACATCAGCATAAGCTATGCACCATGTGGCTACCTTGATAAGAGTTTCATTTCTCTGAGTCTTGAGAACATTTTTATGATTAATGGAAGAAAGAATATTATCCAATATTAACAATTCTTTCCCAATTCTATGTTCTAAAAATTATTGATGATAATGAAAAATCCTCTTTCTCTAAATTAATTAAACATTGAATGTCTAGAGTGTAAAAAAGAAAGCACTGGACATCTGACAGGTATATTTATACCAAGATAAATATAATAAATCATTTTCTTAAAGATATGTACTAAAGTGTGGAAGGCATATCCAGATAGTATATAGCATCTTAAAGAGAAGGATTGGTGGGCCATGTAGGGTTGAAGGAGAATCATACTGAACAAGGGTCTAAGGAAGTTTGGCTAGCTTTAAAATTTTGAACTGGATTATTACTTTTAAACATTGTCTCAGCATCAGAGTTTAGGTTTTTTAGTTCTACCAAGGTGTTGGGTCAGAAGAACAGAAATTAGAAGTCATGCGCAGTTTTGCATTCTCAGAAAGTTTGTGTGAATCCTCATGGCTCATATATATGGTTGAGTACATTGTCATTGATTGAGAACCTTTATTTTTGGCCAACACTTCACCATGTTTTCCTGACCTTTTCAATCTACTGGTTTCAGAGCTTTAACATGAGTTTTCCTTGGGCCTGGGGAAAATTCTGAGAATAACTGCTGAGGATGAGCTCAGTGGTGGGAATTCTGAGGACAGGATGATGAGGACATTGCACACGTGTTTGCATTGCGCACGTGTTTGGAATAAAGTAGCTTGACCTAGAAATCCAAACTGCAATGGTGCAAGGCTGTAGTGCACTTCAGTGTGAGTTGATCCTTTATCATATCCTAGTCTAGAATATTCATGACCAGTTACTCTGTGTTCTCCACCCACTATGCTGATTTATCCCCTCTGCCTTAACTGTATGCTGCCCCTTCCTTATGAGAAAGGTGCTATGAAGGTGACCCCCCAGCTTCCTCTCCGAAGGAAAAACACCAATTCCTGCAGCAGGATGCCCGGCATCCCTAGCTGATCCGTCTTCTGGGAAGGTGTCCAAATATTTCTTTGAAAGTTTCTCATGCATCCCATTTAAAGAATATATACTGTCATCTGGGTCACATACTGGAATCCACCATAGAGCAGCCAGCCAGTTACTGACATTTGTCCCTTTCCTATCCATAAAAAGGAAGTGAGTTCTAAGAATATATTTGCAAGTGAAGCCAGGCTGAAAGCCTAGAATTAAAGCAGAGCTGGTACTCCTCAGAGCTCCTGCAAAGTGGTCTTAAAAAGCCCTGATGAGTTCTGCTTCCTGGGATCCCTACTATGATTCAATATGTGATCCATGAACCATGTTGAAATCTGAGCAGAAGTTATCCTGGTGTCGTTAAAGTGGCTGGTTCCTCATAATAAACCCTTCCATTTATTCAGTTGGGAGTAACCCAAGTCTAACACCAGTCACACCCTGATCTCTCCCCTTACTGACCCCTCCGCAGCTGTGTGTACGTGTGTGTATGCATGCAGGCACGTGCATTTCTTGGCCTAACATTGGGTCGTCTGTTAATTATAATATACATTGAGCACTGGACTTTAAGGGTAGGAACTGATACAGTTCTGTGGTTTATTAAGAATTTAAAAAAATACTTATAAAGGAACAGGATTCAGAACATTTTAGAGCTGGAGAAGAAAGAGATATGTGCCAGAAAGAGCACCGGACTTGGAGTCTTGGGTTCTATTGGTGGCTCATATGCTCATGTGACGTAGGTCAGACCCCTAACAGTCTAGGGAGGAGTTTCTATACAAGGTGTTTAATATATCTATCCTAGACTATATAGGAAAAGAAGTCTCAAACTTCATTTCACTCACTCATTTATCATCCAACAAACATTTATTCTATGCAAAATACTGTACTGGCTTCTGGGGATACACTGGTCCATATGATGGATGTGGCTTTTGTCTTCCTGAGATCTACAGTCTCCCAGCCTTCCTCCAGAGAATGTTAAGCTGGATGTGATAAACCAACGAGGACTAACTAACCAAACTCCAGTTTGGCCCCACAACAACCTCCTCTTTGGCTTTGTCTCCTGAATCCTACACACCTAAGTGCAAACACGCTTTCCAATTACCTGCTTATTCTTCTACTGACTTATCTCAGCAAACTTCTTTGCATCCAATTCACTCTCTCCACCAAACTACAATAGTTTTTGGAGCATGTAAAAGCAAAAGGACACTTGAGAAGTGTAAAGGTTTTAAAACAAAACAAAAAAAAAAAATAGAAGCAAGTATGTAGTCAAATATGTGAGCAAACATGGGCCCTGGTAGAATCTCCTAACACAGCGTATTGACATGGCTCAGAGCCTATGGCTCAAATACACACTATAATAGCTGAATATAACTTGGCTACCTTATGAGAAAGGAGAGCAAAATAACAAATCAGACGTTCTTTTTTTCATTACAAAACTGAGGGGCCAAGGTAGTCGGGCTTACTCTGGTAGAGGGGAGGGTGGGTTAATGTAGGAAAAACTTCTCAGAGAAATTGAGACTGATGAGTGACTTAAAGAACTCAGGGCTTCAAAGTAAGCCTGTTGTTTTAGTGAGTAGAACAGTTTCTGGTGGCTGACAAAGGCCTGTGTAGGTGGAGGAGTTACGCAGAGTTTGAATACAAGTAGAAATGAGAGGGAAGCATCCTGAAGGATGAAAACAGGTATATAGGTGGGTGGAAATTTTACAATCTTATCTTTATCTTTGAGTGAACTTGACTGTCAAACAAAATTCCTGGACTTCTTTATCAATTCAATAGACAGATATAATATTTTGCTCCTCAGGGTCTTCCAGGACAAAAAGATGTGTGCATTCTGAGTAAATAACAATCATAATGCAAATAGTTTCTATTCATAAATTACTTTAGAGTTCACCTAATGTATTATAGTCTTTCTAAACAATATGCTTTTACCTCTATCCTCTGTATACCTAATAGTGCTATCATCTATTCGCAATCCTTAGCCTTGCTGAGTTACTCTGCTAAACCTCCGACAGCCCAGCCATCATTCAGAGGCCCAGTGGGTTGAAACTGACAATGGCTTAACTGCAGATCCCTAGCATCCTCTGGAGGAAGACCAAAAGACTGTGGACCTCAGGAGGACGAGGGCCCAATCCATCACATGTCCTAGTGCATCTCCAGAAACTGGTACAGTGTTTTGCACATAGTAGGCACAGAATAAATATTTGTCAAATGATAAATGAATAAACGCAACAAAGAACAGTCTGAGATTTCCTAATTGCACATATGCTCTATTCTGTACATTTCAGGGTCATCTCAGGATTTAACCCCTAGCTATGTTCCCTTCACATCTCACAGTTTAACATGTTCTTACCTGACTGAAGATTCAACAAATTTAAAGACTGGGATGTAGAAGTGCAACGGAATACATGGGGATGATTTGAGCAGACAAGTGAATACTATACAAGTGGCAACATTTGTCGAAGTTAGCTGAAATTGCTCATTACAAGACCCCTTATATTCTCATGGCTGTGGATGTCTGCAGTTCCTCTTTCTTGGTATCATATACATCCACATTGGCACTGGGCCATTTTTTCTAACGAGTATTTTGTGGCTTTGAAATGTCATAATATCTTGAGATTTCCTTGATAATTTTTGACCAGAGGATTGGCTTTGGAGATGCCAGAAACCATAATGATTAGCATAAAAGACAGCATACAAGATATACGACTCATGGAAAAACATGAGTCAGCAAAAGATGACTACCTTTACAAATAGCTACTTAAATTTAGCATAGTGGCTAAAAGCATGGATTCCATAGCAAGGATTCAAATGTTGGTTGGCTTTGCCCTTATGAGCTCTTTGAGTTTTGTTATTATTCAATTTCTCTGTGCCTTAGTTTTCTACTTAAAAAATGTGTTGTGGTAAGGATTAAATGAATAATGTGGTAGAATAATTCCAGAAACATATTAACTTACCTCTTATCATGATCTTTGGCAAGTCACTGACCCATTCTGAGCTAAGAGTTTCATGCACAAGACCTCTCATGCACAAAATGAGAGGTCTTGAGTACATTATCCCTAAGGCCCTGAATCTATTGTTTTCAAACAAGACAGCTAGTCTCTGTGTTTTTCTACATACATCTGTGTGGTTCAAGATGGGGAAGTGAGTGATTAGTTACTAAATGCTTTCCTTGATTGATGCAAGAAGAGGTTATTGGCTGATTGGGCCAAACTTCTTCACTATTTTCTAAATTCTTTGAGAGTAAGAAGTATATTGTTTCTTCTTTGGTATCCCAAGTCCTACCATGGTACCTGGGGATAATGGGTTCTCAGTAAACTGCTAATGTATGTGGAATAAATGTCCTTGTGTCTTATGTTCCCAGATGTGTGGGAATCAGAAAGGATGGGAACTGTTTTGTGAGCCTTTTCCCGTTTTTTAACACTACTTACACAAAATATGCAAAACCATGACTATATCATGAATATCTTTACTGGAGATATTCATAGTGCAAGGATTCAATTGATTAGTTTTTGATAGCAGATACTGATTTGAGTTCAGAAGTCCTGGATTTTAGAAATAGGATATGACAGACGTATTTTGCTATTTCAAGTACATATTTGGCGTTATGGCACTAAGGATGATACGATATGATTAGCACTCTAATTTCTTTGCCTTCTGTTTCTGGTCTTTCTTCAGAGCATTTGTATCTATACATTTCCACAAGTTTTTGTATTCTTTCTCATTCGCTGTAAATAAAAAGAGAGGGACAGCATTAATTAAATTATCAATGTTAATATTTTTCTTTTTTTTAATGTTTTATTTATTTCTGAGAGAGAGAGAGAAAGACAGACAGCCACCCAGCCAGCATGAGCAGGGGAGGGTCAGAGAGAAAGGGAGACACAGAATCTGAAACAGGTTCCAGGCTCTGAGCTGGCAGTCAGCACAGAGCCCGACGCGGGGCTCAAACCCACAAACCATGAGATCATGACCTGAGCCAAAGTCAGACACTTAACCAACTGAGCCACCCAGGCGCCCCAGATTATCAATGTTAAGAAAGCAAAAAGACAACCCAGAGAATGGTAGAAGATATTTGTAAATCATATATCTGATAAGGGACTTGTAAAAAATACAAAAAACAAAAACAAAACCCACCCCAAATTTAAAATGGGCAAAATATCTGAATTGACATTTCTCAAAAAAAAGATATATGAATGAATAATAAGCAAATGAAAAGATACTCAACATTATGAGTCATTAGAAAAATGCAAATGAAACCACAAGGAGATACTGCATTGATCGCATTAGAATGATTAAAATAAAAAAACAGTGATAAGTCTCAGTGAGGATGTGGAGATCCTGGGACTCTTGTAGAGTTGCTGATGGGATGTAAACCTTGGACGACAGCCTGACAGCGTCTCAAAATATTGAACATAGAATAACAGCAATTCTACTCTGAGGAATATCCACCACACTAAAAACGATACATGGATGTTCATAGCTACATTATTCGTAATAACCGAAAGGGAGAAGGAGCCCAAATGTCCATCAGTTGATGAATGGATAAAGAAATTGTGGGCGCAGTTCTTTTTGTGTACAAACCCAACTGACTCATGCCAGCAGGAATAAAGTTGCTTCCTGGAAAGAAAAAATAATAAAAGAAATTGGTATATCCATATAATTGAAAATATCTTAGCCATAAACAATAATGAAGTATTGCTACGTGCTACAACATGGATGAACCCTTGGAAGCATGCCCAGTGAAAGGAACCAGTCACAAAAGACCACATATCATATGATTCCATTTATACGAAATATCCAGAATACACAAATCCATACATACAAAAGTAGTGCGTCAGGGGTTGGGGGAGAAGGGACAGAAAGCAACTGCTAATGGGTATAGGGTTTATTTTGGGGGTGATCACATTATCCCCAAATATTACATAGTGGTAATGACTACACAACTCTGTGCATACTACTAAATGACACTGAATTGTACACCTTGAAAAGGTGAATTTTGTGGTGAACCTAAATATAATTGCTATTAAACAAAATCAATGTCTTCACACAAAGAAATGGAAAAACATTCCATGCTCATGGATAGGAAGAATAAATATAGTTAAGATGTCATTACTACCTAAAGCACTCTACACATTCAATGCAATTCCAATCAAAATTGCACCAGCATACTTCTCAAAACTAGAACAAACTATCCAAAAATTTGTATGGAACCACAAAAGACCCCGAATAGCCAAAGTAATACTGAAAAGTAAAACCAAAACGGGAGGTATCACCATCCCAGACTTCAGCCTCTACTACAAAGCTGTCGTCATCAAGACAGTATGGTATTGGCACAAAAACAGACACATAGACCAATGGAACAGAATTGAGAACTCAGAAGTGGACCCAAAAGTATACAGCCAACTGATCTTTGACAAAGCAGGAAAGAATATCCAATGGAAAAAAGACAGCCTTTTTAACAGATGGTGTTGGGAGAACTGGACAGCAACATGCAGAAGAATGAAACTAGATCATTTTCTCACACCATGCACAAAAATCAATTCAAAATGGATAAAGGACCTGAACGTGAGACAGGACACTATCAACACCCTAGAGGAGAAAGCAGGAAACAACCTCCTTGACCTCCACCGCAGCAACTTCTTACTTGACACATCCCCAAAAGCAAGGGAATTGAGAGCAAAAATAAACTGTTGGGACCTCATCAAGATTAAAAGCTTCTGCACAGCCAAGGAAACAACCCAGAAAATTAATAGGCAACCAACGGAATGGGAAAAGATAGTTGCAAATGACATATCAGATAAAGGGTTAATATCCAAAATCTATAAGGAACTCACCAAACTACACGCCCGAAAAACAAACAACCCAGTGAAGAAATGGGCAGAAGACATGAAAAGACACTTCTCCAAAGAGGACATCCAGATGGCCAACAGACACATGAAACGATGCTCAGCATCCCTCCTCATCAGGGAAATACAAATCAAAACCACACTGAGATACCACCTCACACCAGTCAGAGTGGCTAAAATGAGCAAATCAGAGAACACAAGATGCTGGCAAGGATGTGGAGAAACGGGCACCCTCCTACACTGTTGGTGGGAATGTAAACTGGTGCAGCCCCTCTGGAAAACAGTGTGGAGGTTCCTCAGGAAACTAACAATAGAACTCCCCTATGACCCAGCGATAGCACTGCTAGGAATTTACCCAAGGGATACAGAAATGCTGATGCATAGGAGCACATGTACCCCAATGTTCATAGCAGCACTCTCCACAATAGCTAAAACATGGAAAGAGCCTAAGTGTCCATCAACGGACGAATGGATCAAGAAGATGTGGTTTCTCTATACCATGGAATACTACATGGCAATGAGAAACAATGAAATCTGGCCATGTGTAGCAACATGGATGGACCTTGAGGGTGTTATGCTGAGCGAAATAAGTCAGGCAGAGAAGGACAAATATATGTTTGCACGTATAGGAGGATTAGGAGGAACTTGACGGAGGAACAAGGGGGAGAAGAAGGGCGGAAATGGTGGGGGAAAGGGAGAGAGGCAAACCATGAGAGACTCTTGAATGCTGACAAAAACTGAGGACTGATGGATGTGGGGGGGAGGGGGGATGGGCATGGAGGAGGGCACTTTGGGGATGAGCACTGAGTGTTATGTGGAAACTAATTTGACAATAAACTATTTGTAAAAAAATAAAATAAAATAAAATAAAACCAGAAAAAAAATAAAATAAAAATAAAAATTGCCAATGCAAGAAAAAAAAAATCAATGTCTTCTAAATACATCCAATCGCAATAACCATAGGATAAAATTTCAGGCTTTGGTGGAATTTTTTTTAAACCTGTACTTTGCCATATAATGATCTCCTAGAGAGCTAAGCCTGTCAAGTGATTTCTGTTTTGTTTTGTTTTGTTTTGTTTTCAACTAAAGAAATAAACTGAAATTGTGTTTGTATAATGCCAAAATTACTGATTAAGAAGAAAAAAAGCAATTTGGTTATTTTGGTTTTGTAAAATTTTAAACTTTTTACCTTCTAGTTTGCAAACTATCAGGTGTGTTAATTTTTTTTAATAAGACGTATAAAAGAATGAATTCTGCATCAAGTACTCCCCAAACTGTGCATTTGGACTTATAACAAATGCTGGCTAGGGCTTAAAAATGATACAGAATGTTTTATGTATATATATATATATATATATTTAACCCAGTCTGACAATCTCTGCCTTCAATTGAATTATTTAGTCAATTCAGATTTGTTATTACTATAGTTGGATATACTTGCCACGTTGTTTTCCATATGCTTCAAGTCTTGTTTATTTCTCCTTTACTGCTTACTTTTTCATTCACTGAATATTTCCTAATGTTGCATCTTAATTTCTTTAATGATTTTATTGCTATATATTTAGTTATTCCCTTAGTATTTGCTTTAGGGCTTACCATATACATCTTAATGTATTAAAAACAACTCAGATTTATATTAACAATTCCAGTGAGATGTAGAAGCATCATTCCCATATAGATCTATTCTCTGTGCTATGTTATTGTGGTATCATTATATAATAACATACATTATATATATACATACATACATATATATACATATATTTAATATATACAAGTGATAAACCCAATAATACATTGTTATAATTATTACCTTTATGTATTTTAAAGAAGCTGCGAGAAGAAAGAACAAATATATAATTCATAGCTTCTGTTATATTAACCATCTTATTTATCACTTTAGGTTCTCTATATTTTCTCCTGTGGATTCAAGTTGACATCTTGAGTCAATTCTTAGCCCAATACAATTTTGTTCCCACCCACCTCCTTGTGGTGTTATGGGCAAATACATTACATTTCTGTATGTTACAGGCCCAACAATACAATTATATACCTATTTCTTTATGCTATTTAAATCAGTTAAGAGAAGAATAGATAAGAACTAAGCATTTATTCTCTTACAGTTACATAATTACCTTTACCAGTGTTCTTTGCTTTTTGTGTGTTTGGGTTCAGATTACTTTCTGGGGTTACTTGCTTTCAGCCTGTTGAACTTGATTTAGTATTTCTTGTAAGGCAGATCTGCTAGCAACAGCTTCTCTCAGTTTTAATTTATTCAAATGTGTTTTATTTCACCTTCAATTTTTTTTTTTAATTTTTTTTTAATGTTTTTTTTTATTTATTTCTAGGAGAGAGACAGACAGCATGAGCAGGGGAGGGACAGAGAGAGAGGGAGTCACAGACTGAAACAGGCTCCAGGCTCTGAGCCGGCAGTCAGCACAGAGCCCGACGCGGGGCTCGAACCCACGAACCGCGAGATCNCACAGACTGAAACAGGCTCCAGGCTCTGAGCCGGCAGTCAGCACAGAGCCCGACGCGGGGCTCGAACCCACGAACCGCGAGATCATGACCTAAGCGAAAGTCGGACGCTTAACCGACTAAGCCACCCAGGCGCCCCTTCACCTTCAATTTTTGAATAAGTTTTTCTAGACATAGGATTCTGGGTTGACAGTTTTTTAAGTTTGAGGCCTTTGAATATGTTATACTATTGCCTTCAGACAACCATTGTTTCTCAGGAGAAGCTGACTCTTAATTAAGAATTTCCTTATAAGTGAGGAATCATTTTTCTCTTACTGCTCTCAAGATTTGCTTTGGCAGTTTTATTCTGATGTATCTATTTATGGATCTCTTTGAGTTTATCTTTCTTATAGCTTGTTGTACTC